TATATCTGAAATCTAACAAGGTAGATAAAATGCAAATTACACATCTAAATAAAAAAATTGGAGTAATATAAATTATTTTTGTATCTAGCTCCTGGCTGTTAAACAATATCCACTGGTAATAGAGTATAGGCTACATTATCATTATTTATATTTAGTAATATCTATTAAAGTCTGCCTCTCAACAATGAGAAAATCAGCTATTAAAACTATCAAAGGGTAATATATTTTGTAATAGAGAATACTGGCAAAGTTTCAAAAGCTAGAAATACTATAACAGGACTGAATATTTCCCAACAAGCAAATCCATCTGGGTAAAGTGCTTATATCTTTTTATATTCTGTTATAATAATAGCTAAAAATTAATACTTGTCAAATATTTTACATATATTGACTTATTTCTAAAAGGACAAAGGCAAAATGGAGACAGACTACAGAAGGGGTGAATAAAGGAGAAGAGATGAGTATACTAGCTGCTGTAACAAAATACCATAGATTGGGGGGCTTAGTCAACAGATATTTATTTTCTCACAGTTCTGGAGGTGAGATATTCCAAGGCCAAGGTGTCAGAAGAGTCTGGTTTCTAGTAAGAGAGCTCTTCCTAGCTTCAGACAGTTATCTTCTCACTTAATCCTCATATGGTGGAGCAGCAAGCTCTCTAGTATCTCTCTTTATATGGCACTAATAATCCAGTATGAGGGCCCCACCCTCAAAAGCTTACCTAAACCTCCTATACAAATATTTTTACATTGGGACTTAGGACTTCAACATACGGATTTGAGGGCAGGTGGGGTGGGGATACAACTTAGTCCATAACAAGGAAAGATGAAAGTCAGACCCTGGTATAAAGAGGCAGCAGTGAAAGGTGGAACTTGTGTTATCAGGAAGACAAGGGGAAGATATATAAAAATGAGTGGTTACTATTGTCAGAGACCATCAAAAAAGGTATGGAAAAGACTCCACATGAAGCTAATAATTAGGAAGCCATCAGTGTCTTTCATTTGCTCTGAAGTCCAATTGCATATATATGTATGTATATAAATATATATATATATATATAACTACGTATTCTATGTATCATTAAGGAAACACAAAATTATATGGTATTAAAAGAGAGAGAGGGAGAGAGAGAGAAGGGATGAAATGCCTCTGGCTAGGGAAACAAAGAAAGCTTAAGAGGACAATTGATATTCAACATGGAACAAGGTAGGCAGAGTTTTGACAGACAAAGACTTGGGGGTAAGAGATAATATTTGTTAAGAGTTTAGTATAAAATTGGAAAGGATATGGTTTATTTGTAACATTCAGAGCAGCCGGGATGGTGGGAGCAAATCATAGAAATGTACAAAAGAAGTGGTAAATTTGTGTTTGTAGGCTGATAATATTTGGAATACTTATTAAAATATATTGTTTTAACCCTCAGCACTATATGCAAAATAGAATATGAGAATGCCATTTCACAGTAACTCTATGATTTATCTTAGTCTTTTTGAAATACTTATCGGAAGTTATTTTAAAACATTTGATCAGGATTGAAATTAGCCCGGTTTTCCTGAAAGCCACTTTTCTCTTTTTCAAAGTAAATTTACTTGAACTCTTTATCTCTCAGATTTCTTATCTCTAAAGGAAGAGATTGGACTAGATTATTCGTTGGACTCTTCTCCCAGATATGGTCCTTTAACATAGAAAACAATATTTTTTACAAAAGCACCACACTATACTTCTTTTCAATAAAAATATTGAAGTTATACACTCCTTTTTATTAAACTGGATATAAAACTCACACTGCTTTTATGCTTGGACTTTCTAAATTCTAAGTTCTTTTTAAAATAATTATCACTCAAAATTCAAGGATGTTTAAAAAAGACAGGTTAGCAGGTGATTTAGAAAGAATTAATTATTGTGCAAACAATAAAATTATTATACTCCAGAGATGCAACAATTTTAATGTCATTTTTCCCTACTTGTACAATTTACACATGAGGCACCTGGGGTGCAGGGAAATTAAGTGATTTGAGAACTTAAGCTGAAGGCCACATGCCAATTTGGATTCCACTGTGCCACTGTCCCTAGTCCACATGGACAAGATTTAATGGGCTAATAAGAACATAAACATCTCCGTCTTTCTGGTGATTGTTAAAATCTAGTTTCCAATTTCGAAGTTGTTGGTTTCCAATTAAGGGAAATTTAAAAGTATATGAATTGCTTGGTAATATCTGTGTTCATGGAGACCATCAATAGCAAGGAAAACCTGGCAAGAATTCCACAGTTTCCCCCGCTGTGTCTGTGCCCTGCCACCGACTAGGTGCAGCGGGTTTCACTGGCTCTTGTCCTCCTCCCACGTGAGACATCCTCAAACTGGCTGTCCTGATGCTGCTTTTCAGGAGAGGTGACACTGGGCCAGGACTGTCGTGCTTCCGGCTTCCACATCCAGCTATTACGGACACATCCTCCAGAACCACTTTGTAACTTTATCATTCCGGCAGAGGCCGACTGGTACCTGCGGGCCATATATCATCACAAGTGCACAGCCCTTAGAGAGGGGGCCCGTCTTTGAAATAAAATAATCTGAAACATTGTAAGTATTTGGGGGTGCACAGAGTTCACTTCCCTGTAGCTGTGATTAAAAGAAAGTCGAAAAAGCACCGGAGGCTCTAATTCAAAAAGTCACACTAGCGTAGGCTTATGACTGATGGGCAGAAGGGAGCAAAAGAAAAGAAGGGAGGAGGAAGAAAGAAATGGGAGCAATTAATTTCAAGTACACCAACCTAGTAGAATCATAAAATTCCATAACTCCATCTTCTCTTCTGTGACTCTACCATGGGTCACGATGAAATTTCTGTCTACTACCATGCTCCATCTCCTGCCAGGTAAAAAAAACTCCCAAAGGGAAAGGGAACTAACTTAATTTTCTATTTAAAAAAAATATCTGACACTTCCTACAATATAACTCAAAATGCAGACCAATGTGTAACTCAGTTCTCCAGGTAAGCCCTTTCTTTCAAAACAAATAAGCATGCAAACAATTCTTCACTATATGCATACGAGAAAGACATCAAAATTTCCATGCAGGGTCAGTCCTGGGGTCTAAGTCTAGTACATTCTGCAGAATGACATTCGATGATTCAATAGGTTAAATGGCTTAAAATGATTGCATTTTTCATGAGCTTAATTCACTCCATATCTATAATTTAATTTTACACTATGTTGAAATTCTGCATAAAAAGATCACCATATGGAACGGTTAATAAGTCATTACCATGTTACAATGTATTCGTACAATAGGAATTGTGATTTAAAGAGTAGAAATAGAAAAGATAAACCATAATATCCTTATCCAACACCACTTTTGACCTGATGTCATTAAAATTAAAATTGGAAAATTCAATGGTGGTGAGGAATAAGGAAAGAGCTTAATGATTTTACTAAGAAATAGCTAATAATGCCAGGGTTTAGAAAATTAATTTTACCTGTAAATATAATTTTCTTGGCTACTAGAGTATTTATTTTGCCTTATCGCAAATACCAAATACTATACATTTATATAAATCACTACTTTGCAAAATGCTTTTGTATCCGATATAATAATTCACCTGCTCAACCTTTACTGATAATTAGCACAATTGCATGTCTGGATAATTTCACTGCTTCTAAATATTTGTAACTGAGAGAAGTTATGGTGGCAGTTTAAGGATATTATTAACTGAAGACCTTCCATATTGGGATGGGGATGGGAAGGAGATTCCTGTTGCTAAGACCAGTAATCCTTCAAGAAGAAGAGGGTATCTGGATGAGGTGACTCTACACGATCCACCACTTGCGCCTGCCGCAGGTGCAATTGTTCCAATATTGAGTTCCCTGGATTTCAGGGTGTGAATTCTATCTGTAGTTTCACTCAGCTGGAGAAAAGTCCTTTTCTTCCCTGCAGGACCTCCATTTGTTCTTATCAAAATTAGACCTATGACTAGAAAATCTTCAGCTGTTTCCCTTGGCTTTCTCTCATTTCCTAGGAGGCATGTTCAGCAAAGAAAGAGGGAGTATATGTTATAAAACTAGGTCAAATTAGCTTATTTCTATTTCAAGTTTCATAATCATAGAATGCTTATAAAATACCAGTCATTTTGAATAGATGGAGTAGTTAACCAGCCCCAAATAAATTAAACCAGCAATCAAATTGTGGTTCAAGGTGCCACTCTTTTAATACAATAAATATTTTTAAAAGAGACCAGCTGATAAAAGTGTGTCTTGATGCCGTTCGAGGGTCATCATTCAATGAAAAACCACTTTCAAGTAAAATAGTTCTGCTAAAACAAAAACAGAGCAGTAATAAATCATGCAGAAAGCACAGTATTTTAAAAAATGTATTCTGTTGGCTTTAATTCTGTGTATAAAAGTACATACTCATTTTAAGAAACTTATAAAATTCAAAAACATACAAATAAGACTTAATAATCCTACCACACAAAAATATCTAAGGACATTTTCATGTACAATAAACATATAGTAACCTCAATGTGTACAGTTTTAACTATTCTTGAGCAAGTCTAATTTGAATATAATCAGTTATATTTTTTGCTTTTATAATCATGAGTCCATTTTGGAGTCTGGTCTGAAATGAGTGAGTGTCGTAGCCACTGACTGTGACAGCCTAACACCCTCCTTTCAGTGTGGCTCTGTGCTTTCCTTGTCGTGGATAAGCAGTAACTGACGACTTTATACTTTACTGCATATGGCAGAATGATATGCTGTGGAAATCTTCACCCACTTGGGGATTCAAATTTTGCTTGTGAATGCTAATTCCCGTATTTCCTTCCCCATCTTTTTTTGTCTTTGTTTTTTAATAGCAAAACAATCTTTTTTATCCTAAGAGATAGAATTGTGCTTGAAAACTGTCAGTTTCTATAGATCTTTTTACAGTAGAAAAACCTTTCCCACTTGCCCCTACATAAGCAGGTTGATTTTTCACGGAAAATGGCTTCAAGCTGGCCCTAATATTTACTCACTTATGCAGGTGCGTTCATCAGCATGAAGTCTGTATCCTGTATCACATTCGCAGTGGAAGGTGCCCAGAGTGTTAATACAGCGCTGCTGGCAGCCCCCATTCACCACCGCGCATTCATCGATATCTAGAGGAGGAAGACAGATGGCCAGGATTCCAATGTCATTCCAATGTCAGCTTCGGAGAAGTGGCGCAATATTTCTTTGATTCACAATATGTGTTATATTGCACAAAGGCACTGACTCTGTTGCCACAAATCTTTGCTTGTTTGATCCATTTTGCTCCACAGTGCAAACAACAAAATGTAGATAGAAGCTTCATTGAGCTTTTTAAAACCCAGCAACAATGAATATAAAGATTGCCTCACAATTTTCTATTCTTCACAAACTGGTTAATTAGACAGATCTGAGATATAGATATTTCCTTGAGGCAGGGAAACTGGAGACAAGAATTACAATTAGCTACTCTATCTGGAGCAGCACACATTAGTAGATAAACACCTATTATTGGTCTGATACTGCTGAATAAAGCCAGTAATAAAGTTAAGACCTTGAATCTCCTTCTCATGTGCTATGGTGGGCATCAGGGAATAGACTGATACATTCAGATAAAACCATGGGTTAGAGTTCTTAAAAATACACCAGTACATTTGCTTCATTGATTCAGCTTGTTTCTTTTCAGTTAGGATTCCCATTTTTTAAATACTTAACATGTTTATATGAGAGGTTACTTTCATTTTAGCAAAAAAAATTTAAAAATCAAGACTCAGAAATGAATATAATATTTATATTCTTTTAGGAAAGACAAATCCCATACTTCCTTGTACCCTATATAATTAGCACTTATGTATCTGATATCACAAATAAAAGATATTCACAAATGTGGGGAAAGCTATTCAGGTAATCAATGGATCAAGAGCTTCTAAATTTTGTTAGGAGAATTTTCTTTTCTTCAAAATCTGTACCTTTTGGCACACATCAAAGTAACAATCTGGCAGAAAGGTCAACGTTGGCATGGGAGAGCATGTGCTTTATGCAGAGAAAGTCCCTGGCTTCCCATGACCCAGCCTCAGATATTCAGGCAAAGAATGATGAGCGTATTTTTCACTAAAATATGTTCTCGTAATAGACAATCAGCTTTACACTGAGTGAGATTAATTCCGCAGGGCAAGATCCTTAATTGAGAAGACATCCACATTGAGAAGAAAGAATACTGCAATGCCTTATTACAGTAACTTTTCATGCTAAACGGTGTGATCTGTAACAACTGTTTTGTACTATAATAAAAACTAGACTATTTAATATGAGGAAGGCAAAATAATTTTCTTTTACTTGGCATTGCTTTTTATGAAAAAGAATGTAAAGAATATATTAACTCACAAAATAAGGCCCACATTTTAAAATTACTAGTCTTACTATGGTGTACACAGTTTACTCAATCTAGTACTTTCTTTCTAAAATTATATATTCTGGAGTAATTTCAGGTATATTTAAAAGAATCTTATTTTAGAGATAAGAACTACTGACTTTTCAAAGCATTAGAAGTTTTATTAAATTTTGGGTTTGTGATAAACAAACCTCTAAGTCTTTTTCATATAAATGAATGTCAAATCAGAATTCTCCATTTCTTACTTGCACTTTATGCAGGGCTTTGATATTTATGCTATCTAAACTTTTATCTTTCTAGTTTTAGGGTATTATTCCACAGAATTGAGATATGACTTTGAATCCTAATTCTGTCAATCCCTGAGTGATATATCCTTCTTAGGTCTTTCATATTAGATATACAAATAAAACTACCAAGAATACTATGTTTTGGGTGATAATACATCAAACATTATCATAATATACTATATATGTATTTAAATACATTCAAAATGTCTTAAAGGATGTATACAGATATAAATGATTATATCGAGAAGGAACAAGTGTATAGAGACTGAGCAAAGTGCAGGATGTAGGTATGGGGATGTTGGACAAGAGAGTTTATCCATATTTGTAATGTCCTATTTTTCATAAGAAAAGGTCAGGTATTACTTGTGTAATAAAAAGTAATTTTATAAAAAGAAACAGGATGACTTTCCCTTGCTCCTACACATCAAGCTTCAATAATTTTCTGACAACAGATACCAATTAGTAAAAAAAAGAACTCATAAGGGTGGACACTGATTTTAAGAAGAATCTCCTTTCAGTATGTTTTAGTATGTACTGATTTTTTATATGCCCCAGGACTATAATTAAAGTACTATATTGGAAGCGCACACACACAAAAATGAAAGTAAACCAAACTTTCTCTGTACTTTGAGTCAGATAGTCTTGAGAAAAAACTATCTTCGTGTTGAAACTTATTACCTGTCACCTCGCTTTTCTGAAATTCAGTCTTATCTATAAAATGGGATAATAATGATTACCATAAGTGCTATGCTATGATTCTTTCCCTTTCCTATTCCTACGTGATAAATTGGATTAGATTGCTAGTATTTGAGCTTATATGTAGAAATTAAAAAAAACAAGTTCTTTCATTCCACTAAATAGAGGAGCTAAATGCAAGAACACAAGGTGAGAGTGCATGATAGAAACAGCTGCAACATCTCAATTCAGAGGAGAGAAAATCATTTGGGCGAGAGTGATAAGGGAGTGCTTGAGGTAAAAACTGAGAGTGGCGTGCGTGGGGAAGAGGGAGGGCAGCGCCCAGTGTGCAGTGCTTTGAGTGTGCAGTGCCTGGTATCCAGCAGTTAGACCTGTCAGTTTGGAAAATAAGGTTGGCGAAAGGAAGTAAAGCTGAAAAACAAATCTAAAATCTACCTTTAATTAATTTGTAAGGCAAAGTACTCCAGGTCTTGATTTAAAATACAATACACTTTTAGGCAGGTTGAGACATAATAAGCTGTGTTCACACAGTAGTTAAGCAAATACATTAATAGTTAAAAAAATCGATTATTTATAGAGTGGTACCAAATACAGAGTAATTAGTTTGACTTTCTTTTTCCTTCTGTGCCCTTTCAGAACACACTGAATTTACTGATGGTTTGGATGTTGTGTAACCCATAGTTCTTATACCTGGAAGCAAATCCTGGTGAACATGTTGGGTAAAATACCCATGCCTTGGTCCTGCCCTTAAAGAGTTTAATTTATTTGGTTTGGGGTAAGGCCTGAAAATCACTTTAAAAGCATCCTAAGTGAGCTCTGGTTGGTGTGACTAAGTGGACTGAGTGTTGACCTGCGAACCAAAGGGTCATTGGTTTGAATCCCCTTCAGAGCACGTGCTTGGGTTGCAGGCCAGGTCCCCAGCAGGGGGCAAGCGAGTAGCAGTTACACATTGATATATCTCTCCCTTTCTTTCTTCCTCTCTTTCCCTCTCTAAAAATAAATATAATCTTTTAAAAAATAAATAAATAAAAGCACCTTAAGTGATGGTAATGTGTGGACAGAGTTGAGATCCCCTGGCTTGGGTCATGCTTTAATCACCTAAGGATGTTGTTAAAATGCATATGCCTAATCTGTAGACCTGGGGCTAGGGGCCATGATTCTGCATTTCTAATCAGTCCAAGGTAATTCTGATGCTACTGGACTATGGACTATACTCTGAGTAGCAAGAGTGTACATAGTTATGGTTTGTTCAACCATTAAAATCACATGGATCACAAATGTCATGATTTGGCTCAATTTCTCAATTGTTTTCCCAAAGTAGACCAGTCCAAATGGGTAGTCAATACTCTGAACACAATACTATGTATATGTATAATAAATATATATTCATTATTTACCAAAAAATTCTGAAAGTAAACCACCAATATTTCTTACAGTGTTCACTCAATAATAGTTAATAATTTAATACAATTTTAGCATCATCTGTTATTAGGAATGACTTGCTTCTGTAAAACATGAAGGCCACTTTAGTTCTTTTCTGATGAAATATCTCTGATATAGGATAAAGCCAAGTTAAATTGCCATGATATTAGACACTCATGCTGAAGCTGTCACAAGTGATTTTCTTTTCTATCAAGATGTTGCCCAACAGAGTTAAAAAAAAACAGAAATGTCAATATTACATTAAAATGTTATTATCCAGTATACTTCATGTGAAGAAACTATTTCTCCAAAAATCCTCTGAGTTACATCTTTATGTTCACTGCTTACAAAAAGCCCTGCCCTTAGAACTGGAGCTCCAGGGCACTGCTGGGAATAATGCTAAAGTGATTAGAATTTTTTCAGCATCGTCACTGTGATATGGACCAAGGATTGCATGATTTTTACACCATAAAAGAATATTGAAGAAAGTCAACCATGTCTGCTATTTTTCCTTTTCAATGTCCTTCCTCTAAATATTTCTGCTGTATTTATCTTCAAAACTATCTCCCCAGATGGTCACAGAATATAATAGGGTAAAAAATTTCCCTTTATTATCAAATGTATTTGGCACATAAAAGCTCCCTCAGACAACAATGATCCATTTTTGTTTCTAAACAACAAGAATAGTTTCGTATTATTGTTCTTAGACTGAGCAATCAGAAAAAGGTAAATTATCCTTCCATTTGCCTTTTAACACACACTGTTTTCAGAAACCTGTTGATTGTGAATAAGTGTTCCTGGGTTGCTTTATGTTGGAGATTGCATTATGGAAGCTTTAGGTTTGAAGGAAACATTGAAGAGTGTGGTAGTGATTCTATGAGATCTTCCATGTGGTTTTATTTTCACTCTATTCCACTACATTACTTTCAGTCTGATATACTATAGTATATCAAAACTGCTGACTTTTTGCTTGCGATGTTATAGTGCCTGATGGAATGAACGTCTTAAGGTTAAAGATCCTGTTGTATTAAGCATTTTCTGCCATGGAGTTGATAGTCTATAAATGTTCTATGAATGAATAAATGAATATTTGGTTTGAGAGTTACCCACAGCATTCAGTCATCTTATCCACCTATATTCATCAATGGGATTTCTTAGGATTGGCTCTGACTGTACTTACCCTTTTTTAATTCTTGCAGTAAATTCTCGATGTTTGTTTTTGACCATTTACAAGTAGCTTTAAATATCCTGTACACAAAATAACTCCTAAGTTTGCTAATGAACACATTTGAGCTGCATCTGTAGTGACTATACATACTGGTTGTCTGCTTCAGAG